GGGGGAGGAAGGGGACTAAGGTCCCGACAGACTCCAACGAGTCTTGAACAAGCTTCGGCCGCTACGTACGCCATGCCAAAATGGCTGGCTGCTCTGACCACTATAGGCATGAGCCAGCTTGGAATGCAGTAATTCAGCAAATCTTCGCAAATAACTTTGGCGCAAGCCCATTACGCCCGCTCTGGGCACGTACATCTCCAGGCAGGGGAGATAAAGACAAACACCCGTTCAACGAACGGGTCCACAGCAGGCTCTCACTAGGAGAGACACACTTATAGAAATGCATACTGATGTGAATCCGGTGCCACACGCCAGCCTAAGTGAAAAACCTAAGAAACCAGGACAGGTACATGTACGGTGGGTCAACTCCAAATCGACAAGTCCAAAGCGACAATGCACATCTGCCGAGGATGAACCGATGCAAAGGCTGGATGTCTTGTTCTAGTTACAAGCAGGGTCCAAAAGGAAATTGCTCTGGTAAAACTGCAGGTACACAAGAAGGCGTCCCTTCTCGCTTCACCAAATGTGAGCCCGTCTTCGTTGGTCCAGGGCCAACTCACAACTGCCTGGACCCCCTGCTGAAAAACATAAGGCAATCCTACAGGATCCCTGTGATTCGAAGGGGCACACACACACACGAAGACGCAAACAGTCACACTCTGACTGTACTCACTTGACACTCACAAAACACTCTTGACGGATCTTCTGGGTCACTTTTCTAGGACAATCTTGTAGGGCCATTTTGTGCAATACTTTGTGCAATACACTATACACGGCGCTCTTGTAGGTTACTCTTGCTGCTGTAAAACACCTTGTCGCGCAATCTTGTAGGACACTCTTTGAAGGACACCACGGCACTTGCTGCACTCGCCGCACCGTGTGCCAGACTGGATGGAGGCACCAAGCCTTGTTCACACCACAAATCATCGTGTTCACCAGCAACATGCCTCGTTTACACGCGCATGTTTCCCCTTATAAAGAAGTGATAAATGGGTGGTTCTGGGAGTCGGGGTTCAGGGTTCAGTTGTTAGGTTGTTGTGTTTTGAATGTTCCTTCCAAACGTTTGCCTGTTATGGCTTTATGTTGAGGTTCAGCGCTTGTTTCTTGGTGTTGATGTTTTCAAGGATAGTTGCAGGGGGGAATGTTCGTCAAAAAATAACTTGCAACATGCTATTTAATAAGGTTGGTCATTGTTTCGGCTGTTGCTTTTCTATGTTGGTGTTCAATGCTTGTTCCTTGCCTTTGTTTCTCTGGGGAGTTGTCGGGGGTGTTCTAGGGTCAGAAACTTTCACCTCATTGTTTGTTTCAGGATGAGGTGGATGTATTTGAAGACTTGTTGTGTTTTGTTGTTGGATGAATATTCCCATAATTCCAGCGTCGTCATCATCTCCAGTTCTTACCGCTTTGGTTGTTTTCCCCTTCACTTTGGCTTGATGTCTGATACTTTCCTCATGTCGTTTGACTTCACTTGATACTTGTTTATTGTGTTTCCACAAATTTGAAATTGTTCTTGTTTTCTTGCTCCACTGATGTTTGTTACTTTTTCTATGAGAACGATCAGCGTCAGCGTCTCCATGTTTCATCGTCTTCACCTATTCCATCCCAATGTTCCAATGTTGGGACAAGATGGTTTCGATGTCGTAGAACACGAAACGAAAACGATGGTGCCTGTATCAACACCTCGGTTGTCAACCAAATGACCAAACACCGCTAATAAGTGTGTAATTGGTTGTGATCTTGTTGTTTTCCTCTTCGGTGATGTATCCTCTCACCGTGTTTTCCAATCATCTTCGTTATAAAACTGATAAGGTCGTGGTGTATTTCTCCATACACTGTGCATTGTGGTCATGACAAATGCTGTTTAAGGAGCAAACCATTAGACCTGTTTCTTTTATGAAGTTCGTTCGTCTTTCCTTCTTCTCATGCTCCTTTTCAATCTCCAATTCTGAATAGTAGCCTCAAAAACAAGTTTTGTAAAGGTCCCGGAACTAATTGTTGATTTTTTCGTCTTATGTTTGGAAATATGCTTGTTTTTGGGCGCTGGTATAGCTCGGAGTGCAGATGCGTTATGTGAGCCTCGGAATGCACTGTGGGAAGAACGGAGCGCTGATCTTGACATCTAGGTCTCATGTCAGATGGCAAAAGCCCCGTAGCGCTTAGCATCCAACCTCGGGTGGCCCACACAAGATGTGCTATGTTGGAGTGGTCCCTGTCCTTCATGAATCTTTACCTTGGCAGTGCTGTGTAAACCGCGCCGATCGAAGCATTCAAGTCTTTTTGTGAGACGGCCAACCCCTAGCTTCCGCCGTTATGGGGTTGCGGTGGATAAAGGTCACGAAGATTTCCTGGTGAGCAACGTTATGTGAACCTAGGAATGCACTTTGGAAAGCACGGAGCGCTGATCTTGACATCGAGGCCTTATGTCAAAGAAGCAAAGAAACACAAGCAGGAAAGCAAGGAAGTTGTGAGAAACAGCAAAAAACAACCAAGCAAGAAAGAAGGCGCAAAAAGCAGCAAAAGCGGCAGTTTTGGGCTCACAAACATAAGCAACAAAATGGATTGATAATACATTATTTGTTCTTTAAAGCACGTGCCCAAAGGACCCATGTAGCACCAGAAGGACAGGGACCAACCAAGGGACCAAGGGACCAGGGAAGCAAGAGACCAGGGCACCATTGGACCAAGGGACCAGGGGACCAGCAGACCAAGGGACCAGGGGAAAAACAAATTTTTATTGATGCGTATTAGTATTGTTATTTATTTTGCGCTTATCATGTTTTCTTGGTGCTCGCTGATTTTTCTTGATACCTATCCCTCAAAAGCGGCAGCATCAACTAATCCAAGATCAAAGGGACTCACTACGGGACGAAAAGACGAGAAGAAGGAGGAACAAAAACAACCGGGAGAAGCAGCAGGAAAAACAAGCCAAGCAAGAAAGAAGGCACAAAAAGCAGCAAAAGCAAGGAAAGAAAGAGGATTCACAAAGAAGCAGTGAGAAGCAAGGAAAAGTAGCACAAGCACAGAAAAGCAGGAAAAGCAAGGGAGCAGTGAGAAGCAAGGAAAAGCAAAACAAACACAGAAATACAATAAAATGTCCAAAAATAGAACGCCAAAAAAAGAAAGTTACATACAAGTCCTGTGTAAACATCCTTCCTCCAAAAGTGACGCGTCACGCCTGCAAAACAAGCACCTTGCACGAATTCCTCCAAAACCCATACGCCCAGTCTCCAAAACGAGCATTTCGCAGGAGACTTCTCAAAAGTGAGGCAGGAAGTCTCATCAAAGCAATCACATCCGCACCATCACCTGCACCAAACGTCGCAGACTGCATCCCAGAACCTCCAACAGGCATCACAAAGTACGGCGCCTGCCGTGAAGTGTGACTATGCTACACCTTGGCATGTCTAGCAAAATTGGCTTCGATCCGTTGCTTCTTCACCCAGATGCCTAAAAATTGCAATCTTAGCTACACAGCCTCGAAGCAAACGCTTCAAGAGCAAATCTCAATGGCACAGCGACATTCAATGCCTCCACCCTACGAACGCCAATCCCAAGGGCACCGCCCCATAAAATGCGGATCTTACAAAACGCTGCACCTGCACTATTCCAGAATCTGACACTTCGTGCTTCCATCCAAGAACCTCCACCAAAGGCAGGCCTTATCGTGCTGTCTCGTGCGAAAAAACAGAAACGCTGCACGAACTTCACCGATGATCCTAGAACTCGTGATGGGAACTCGGAGATGCATGAAATTCTGGAACGAACACACGACCCTTGATAAGCACGATGCCACTGTGCACGTTTCCAGGTTGGACATTACTTGGGGCATGTTCAACCAATCGCCCACCTTGATGCGGATCATGATGTCCCGAAAGCTCATGCCGCCCTCTTGGAAATTGACCAACTCCTCCGGGGTTGCATCGGAGAACACATGTTACTTCCACAGCCCCGCTTTGGCTGTTTCGTCTGTTGTTCTTTCTTTGCTCCCTTCAAATTCGCTTGGTGGGGTAGAGTTATGAACTACGTAAAAAGCAGTTGCAAGGAATAGAGAAGCTTCGTCTGCCCGAAGGCAGGAGCTAATTCCAGGTGGAGAAGCTCTGAAGAGCCCGAGAACAGTCAGAAACAGTTCCTGACGGCTCCTGAGTTCTGACAATCTGCAATATTTAGAGAGAACCGTCCTTGGGGTTATCCTGCAAGAATCTTTCGAAGGTCTTTTCAACCTCAAATTCAACGGAAAAACATTCAAAGAAGACCAATCGGTATCACGGCCAACAGCTTTCCCAAATGCTTACACGTTGGACGGTCAAAACCTGGAACCCCGAACCCTTGTAGTTTGACCTGGTTTGAAGTCTCTTCTGTTCATCTCCAGTGGTCAACCCAAGCTCCCCGTGTCTTGACAAGTTATATATTTACTATATTTCCTCCCAAAACCAGTGCTGAGCAGCGCTGTCGGTCCATAGGAAGGAGTGCGTCCTCGGGAAGCACTTGAGCCGTGCCTTCTGCCTTTCGTCTGTTTGCTTTTCACCGTCGCTCACAAAGTGCTGGGCATGAAGGTTTCCCGATATTCCACGCACTTGGCCTCTGTATTGTCTATCCTTGGCTCAAAAAACAAGGACATTGCCCGCAAAGACATCTCCAGTTCTTCATTGATTTGGTTCGATTTTTTGGGACATTTAGCTAGCCGGCAGTACGGACTGACCTGGCAAAGCTTCAAAGGAGACGCGGGAATTTGCTTGGCACCTTTTGTCCCCTGATCTTCTAGAGTGCAGAGCGTAAAGAATGATGACGAGGATGGTGACGGTGATGATTTGGAATAGCTAGTACACCCGATGTGATGACGCTATGGCAACGATGAAAAGGTGGTGAGAATCTTGACAAGCTACTAGTAAACAAGTGCATCGCTTCTAGTAATAAGTGCCTTACTAGTAGTGGTGTGGAAACCGTGTCGGGTCGCCATGGTGATTCCGAGAAAAAAAATGGTGTGAACCTGTTGCTGTGAAGTTGATGTCGAAAATGAAGTGAATCTAATTAGAATCTAACTGTTTCTAATAGCTTCTTGTTACTACCAGTAAGGCACTTATTACTAGAAGCGATGCACTTGTTCCTAGTAGCTATTAGAATGCCATGTTGATTCAGAACAAATGACGTGAATTGATTCAAGGAAAAACAGAATTAAAACCACCGGGGTTGTTGGAGATAGCATGAGAACAAGTCGAACCAATGCAAAAAGCCTAGCACTTAATTGTAGCTGGTTCTTTCAGCTCAGGTCCGTTTGCCCTTGGGACATAACCATTGCCATTGCGCTTTGAAAAGTAGTAGCGTCCTTGCTCCTAGTAGCGATGCCAGGAGCCCCTAGTAGCTTCTTGCTCCTAGTAGTAAGGCCAGGAGCCTCTAGTAGCGTCCTTGTTCCTATCAAACAAACGGCACCTGCACATTCTTCAACTATCTTCAATTTGTGTCTTTCCGTGACTTTATGCAGTCTGGGACTCAGCTCTGAGACTAACGATAGCAAGCATTGCATCTGGAAGTGCTCCTAGTGACTGAGCATTGGTCGGTGCTGTACACGTTCTTGTTTGGTCAGGTGATGTCCACAATGTGTTCACACATGTTTGAGATGTCCTTGATCTCATTCAAATAGTCTCCGACATTGGAATCTAGACGAACCTGAAAAGGAGGAAGCAAAGCTGCCAAGCTCCCAAGCGGCCAAGCCGCTCAACACGCTTAAAATCCGCAAGCCCCCTTCAAATCTGAGCTCTTCACCATGACGGTGGCCATAGCGAAGAAATCTTTCAACCAGCTGTCGATTGTGCTTCTTAGGGTCGTCCGGCTCGGATTCTCCTCATCCTTACGCTGAGGACTTGACAATGTCAGAAACACGAAGGGCTTATCGCGTTGGCCTCGAAGGGTGGATCAAAAACGATCTCATCGCCCTGAAGCTCAATCTTCACATCCTCAGTAAGACATGGCAAGAAAGCCGCGGCAAAGCCCGTGCAAGGTGTGGGGCACTTTTCAACAAGGTTGTTACTTTCTGTGCCTTTTTTGTATTAGCCCAGGGGGAGGTAGGCCGTAGAGGTTGGCCGTAGTAGCTAGGTAGCTAGTAGAAGCTAGGTAGCTAATAGCTACTGGTAAGCTACTACCTAGGAGGCAGGATAGCTCACACATAGGGCGGGGGAACTTTCTTGAAGAAGCGCTCGCACTATTCACCTAGCGATGGCCTCCAACCTACTAGCGATGGCCTCCAACCTACAACGATAGCCTCCAACCTACTAAGCGATGGCCTCCAACCTACAAGCGGTGGCCTCCAACCTACTTGCAAAGGCCTCCAACCTAATGGCGTTCTTGCTCCTAATAGTAAGGCCAGGTGTCTATAATAGCGTTCTTGCTCCTAATGGTAAAGCTAGGTGTCTCTAATAGCGTTCTTGCTCCTAATAGTAAGGCCAGGTGTC